CAAACCACAGACTGTACTGTGTCATTTCTTAGGTCCGTTACAAGTTGGACCTTCTTATTCATCCCATTCTAGGGATGCAAAGGACAATTATCACCCTTTGAGTAAGATGAATTCTTGAGGATCACATAATGGCCGGTGAGTGACATCAATTTTTACAGTGACGAATCCTAGTTGATAAATGTTACTATTATGGCCTAAAAAGGAAAAGGTGATGAAATTTTTATTGACACACGTTAACAACCTGTCCGTGTGAACTGCTTTTCTGATAGTTAGATTGTCATGAGTTTGTGTGTAGAGGCGAAAAGTGAGGGTTGATTCTCATTGGCTTAGAATGGGGGAATTAATGTTAATTATAATTGTTATAACTATTTTATTAGAATTATTTTTCATGCTATAATTTTGATTTATTTTTTATGCATACAACAGTATAAAGCAGTATGAAAGGAAGAGGACTCATGCCCTATTTCACTCTCTTTTTTTTTCTCTTCAAACACAGGATTCCATAATAACAAATGTCTTATTTCCCTTCTGGTGAACTTAATCTTCACGCATACCACATGATATTTTGATTTGTGTTTTACGACTTATCAACCTTTTGCACGTTATCTAAAGCCAGAAAACACTTTTAAAATATAAGAATTTTTTAGCGATAATAATGACTATAATACTGTTACAAGTTCTACTAATTAACCCATAGTTGAAGGGAGAAGAAGTGGAGTCATAACTTTCCCAAAGGTATTTGCACGTAAGGGAATATAACGAATCTGACTGCAATTGGTAGTCAGCTCCCCAATTTCCAATTCTGAGCCGTTATCCATTACACCACCTGGACATCCAAGCTTACAGCACCTGGTATTCCCTAGGGCTATCTAGTTACTGACCAGGTTTGACATTGCTTAACTTCAATGACAGTATAAGAACTGCCCATATGTTGTATAATGAAACATGTGTAGCATAAACACATATCTCCTATTCAGAAAAACCTCATGCAATCAGTAACATCTACAACTAATTATGTATATATTACTGACCTACATTACACCTAATTCTGTATGTAAAAAGATAAAATCCATGTACATAGTAAAAGGATTATTTTAAAAATGTTGAAATATTGTAACAAATGTAGTTACAGTTGGTAACCCAATTCAATTATACACACACACACACACACATATATATGTAATTCTGTATGATATAACGATATATAATTTTGTATAATTTTATATATCAACAAACAGTATTTAGAAAAATAGTATGACAAATTGGAAAAACGTTTTGTGATGTGTTTCATCTGCTGGAGTTTCAAAATGTTTGAAAGAATATTTTTTCAGTCTAGCCAAATTCATCTGTTTTCTTTTCAGTCTAGCCAAATTCATCTGTTTTCTTTTTCTTTTTCTCTCTGTCACCTTTGTCCCTGACTATTCCAAATGTGTGACAACAGAAAATCTACAAAAAATGGTAAGAGCCTGGATGCAAATTTATTGTGGCTGAACTAGAGATCAAAGCACTTTCCAGACATTTTTGTCTTAGTGAACTTTTTTCTCTTTTCAAAGAAGCATTCCCTATATCAAAATTTTGGTCAGTTTGTTACAGTGGACAACCAATGCATTTTGTGAGTTGTTTTTTAAAATGTCCCTTTTGTGTTCATATAGTCTTTTGTTTGAACTTTTTTTCCAATTTGTAATTTTGTATATAAAAGTATATTTAGGCAGCATATCTTCATTCAAGCATGTTTGATTGAATAATCTGGACATATTATATATATCAAATAGATGTTAATTTTTTTGAGCTTCTAAAATATGCAATGTATACATAGCATGTCATAGTAGAGGAGCTTGTGCATCTCAAGGAACCTGAAAGCAATGCTGTTGGTAGCTCTGTCTTCTGGTAGGGTCACCCATGGCCAAAAGGATTTAGAGAAGAGACCAGACTAAGCAAGATCTAACACCTGGTGGGTAGGCGGTCAAGGCAATGTTTGACATAAGAGAATAAGTCAGCATGCTGATGTAAGCTGTCATCATGATCCTCTCTGTCAAGCCTTGGTTTGCTGCAGTGGATGGTATCAGCTGAAGTGTGTGTGCCATGGAATGGTGACCCATGGACCGCCACAAACAATTAACAGCAAAGGCTTTCATGCTCAAAGACTTTTTTTCTTTTTATGGAGCATCCCAATACTCAGCAATGAGTTCCACTAATGATGATCAAATAGATGTATATATTGAATTCATTATTTTGTAAGTGTTGAAATATTCTACCAAATGTTGGTAACTTCTTTCTGTTACCAGAGTAAGTAAAAAAACTAAAGAAAAATGAAAGGATAGAGATGAAAGCAAGAGATCAATAGACAATTTATTCAGTTTCTCTTTTTGAGGGACTTGTGCTCCTACTGTGCATCTCAAGATTCTTGACAAAATCCAGAGAAAATCTACAATAGAATCATTTCCAGTCACTTTTCTCACCAACATGACGTGACTTCCCTCTGTCTCTTCTACAAATATTTTATGGTAACTGTTCGAACAAACTTTTCACCTAGTAGTCTGACTATATGAATTTAAGCGTACTACTAGATTGGCAACTAGGTCTCACCAGTTTATTGTTGCACTAGCTAGATACAATTGTCATTTCTACTTTTGTTTTTTTCTCACACTTCCCACCTGTGGAACACCCATCTGATTTCTTGTTTCCCTGGTAACTACAATCTTCAAAAATTTAAATACAGCGTCAATCACCATCTGTCTTCTTGAAGCCTGTTCCTTTTTTGTCCCTTCATCAATCCTCCACATTTTCAATCTTCTCATTCAATTTCACTTCATGTAACCCCTTGCATTCTAATGGCATTGTCACCTTCCTTGGGGTGAAATGATTTAAAAAACAAACCATACCTTATATAGTTAAATTATATAATATTATATGCATTTTAAATTAATTGAATTTTTCAGTTAATTAGATGTAATTTTAATTTTTTTCTAAGAACTGTAATACTGTATTGGTATTTTAGCAATAAATTTCAATAAAATTCTCAAACGTATCTATTTTCATAAATGATTCTAGCATGCATATTTAAATTAAACCTAGTAGATAGCTCTGTAATGAATAATGACAGTTAATTTGTTTGCTATTTAGACAATGAAATTGGAAATATATTTTTTAAAGAACTAGTTAGATCCATTGATATATCAGAAATGTTACTTGGAATTTTTCAAAGCCTTTTTGTGTGAAATCAAAATTGTACAATACAAATTAAACTTTTGTTTTCATTATTGGAAAAGAGTTTGATCTTGTGGAATCGTGAATTCCACCCTTTTGCATGTGTGCACGCGCACGCGGACTGCACCCCTTCCTGTCACGTTCAGCTAGATATAGCAGTAAACGCTGACGTGAGGGAGGTTGCTGGCTAGCTACTCCTGATACCGTCTAAAATCAGAATTTGAATTTTTCCCGCGTGTGTCCTGACGTCACCGACGAACAGCTTTTTCAAGTCAATTGCGGCCTGATTTTCAAGCTAGAAGGACAACTCATTTATTCCATGCCCCTAACCCATACGCGGGCCGGAATATCTTATTCTTAACTAACCAAAACTTCAACATGTCGACATCACACTTTTCCAAGACTTATCCTCGTCTTGATGTGAACAGCATGTTGAACTTTCCTTCGTTTTCAGCTAGAAAATGTAGAGACTACGACACTGTTGGCAATATATTTTTCCAAGACCAAATTCCTCGTCTTGAAGTGAACATGTTTGAACCTACTTACATTTTCTACCAGAATCTACGACACTGTCGTCACCACACTTTTCCAAGACCAATTCCTCGTCTTGATGCGAACAACTTTCGAACTTCCATTTTCTACCAGAATCTACGACACTGTCGTCATCATACTTTTCCAAGACCAATTCCTCGTCTTGATGCGAACAACTCAGAATTTTCCTTCACTGAAGATTGATGAACTTTTCTCGCCTTAGCCATCTTGGTTTTTTCGTTTTGGCGCGGAACTTTAAAATTCTATTAATTACTACTTAATACTAACTGCCTACAGGCTAAAAACATACCTTACCTTTTCTGATAGTCTCCACTGTTGAGACAAGATTATTTGTTATCCAAATAAAATTTCATATATGTTTTCCACCAGACTCATTTTGTTGTTTAATCCTGGCTATCTATATTTTACTATTTTGGTGCATGTGATAAATGACCCCTTTTCCTCACTAAAGATCACTCATTTAATATTCTTACTTTGTTTGTGGATTCGGTAGTCATAAGTAGTGTCTGGCACAAGGCCACCTTTTAATAAACCAGCACTGCATACTACCGGGTCTGCAACAATCTTCATTGATTGCCCTATAAATAAAGCCTTGTATCAGACATGACAAAGTTCAAATGAGTTCAAATTCTTTTTCAGTTATTTTATATATGAAATTATTCCAATAATATTGATTACTTAAATAAATAAAGCTTTGACAAAGTTCAAATGCAATAAAAATGTTTCAAGATCTTTAGTTATTTTATATGAAATCATTCAAATATTATTTTAAAATTTGGAATGTTCCCATTATAAATAATTAATAAAACTGCTTCACAATAAAAAAAAATAAAGGCAGCTCTCTAAGTAAAAAAAAGTTTCGTGTTTCTAGTAAAAATTAAAGTTTTATAGTCATAAAACTCCTAAAAGATTGAGAATACTTATTTCACATATGGCCATGTGGCCGGAAGTACAAATCGAACTGACGAGAAAACGCGAGAATTAAACCGCAAATCTCGTAGATGTGGCGTGTGTGACAAGACAACGCCGACTTGATTATTTTTATATTCATCTTTCTTTTCCGGGGCGTCGTTGCGTATTTATTTATTTTCACTGGATAAATTGATACAAGTCGACAAATACAAGATTAATAATAAGTCATGGGGCTCTGTAAATGTCCCAAGAAGAAAGTAACCAACCTTTTTTGCTTTGAACACCGAGTAAATGTTTGTGAACATTGCCTTGTTGCTAATCATCCCCGAGTAAGTAAAAAACGAAAAAAAAAATCTTTTTAGTTATTTTTTGTCTGTAGTGTAGTCATTTATTTATTATTTTTTATCAATAATGTCTTCTTCAGTTATTAGGATACATATTTAAAAAAAAAAAAATTTAATAGCATATATTCAATATTATTTTTTAATATTTTCGATGTGGTCAAATTTAATTAGAAGGAAAACATTTGTTTCGGTCATCACGAAAACAAAAAAAAATATCTATTTATTTTAAATATCATATTTCTAACTCTCTAATTGCATGCTTTTATTATCGTTTTAAGATATTGTTTTAAAATTATATAATACGTTAAAATTAATAACCGTACAAAATGATTTAAAAAAAAATTAAAACGTGTCAATCAATGTTTGACAATGATTGTTTTGAAATTTGCTTTTTGGTTTCATGAAAATTTTCAAACGTTGTAAACGAAAAATAAAATAAAATACTTCAACATTTGCCATGTAAAATAATGAAAATAACGAGTTTTATATTGCTTCTTACCTGGGTTTATTTTCTACTTAGAATCAAAATAAGTAATAAGTAGATGATTTGTTGAAGTCTTCATATTTTTTTTTGACAATATGTCTTGTATGGCACTAAAAAGTTTTAAAAGTATAATCTTTTTTTCCTACAATTTGCCAAAGTCTCTAATTATCCGCATCTTTTCTTAGTTATTATTTCCACTTAATGATCAAAGAAGCTCAACCTCAAATATTGAACCAACGAAATTTGGCTGCACCTTTATATTTGTTCACTTACCTTTTAAAAAATATTGGGAATATTTTAACATTTTACTCGAAAACTTCAAAATTTAAAAACTAACATGAAAGTAAATCCTAATAAAAAATGATTGTTGATGATGCTGTAGTAAAATTACGTACAGATATACAACTTGTCCTGAGGAGATAAAACCTGATCAGCTGATTAAGTAATTGTATGGATCAGCCTCAAAGTGACTAATTTTTAGCCTAAAAAATATTTTTTTGTTTATTCAAGTTTTATTTTCTTTTTTAATAAAAGTCACATCATATTAACTTTTTGGCTGACAGCATCTTTTTTTTTTTTTTTTTTTTTTTAAGCTGAACTGGTAGTCATTGTGTTGGAATGTTTTTTTTTTTTGTTTAATTTAACCAAACTAGGAGCTATTTCTTCTTATCCATTCTGGACAGTTTTCATGTCCCATCGGATCCGTTGTATTATTCATTGTAAATATCAAGAGACACTTGAATTCAAGATTCACACGCAAATATTCAGTGAGACGGAATTTATTTTAAGTTTTTTTTGTTTTTTTTTAATTATTGCAAAAAAAATAAATAAATAAAAAATCTGCACTTAGACGAAAATCTGTAAAAAAAAAAGTGTCCAAAATTGAAATTTAATTTTATACAATTTTACAGTTTTATATTTTTTATACTAAAGTTTGTCCAATACAAGTTACAAGGTTCGAGGGCCAGTCAAGGTAGAGAGGCTTAATTAATGTTTAAAAAAATGTTTATATGCTGAATGAAATAGGCGTGTGATATGAATAAAAAGAGGTGATAAAAAGAGAAAATTAAGATAATGAATTTTTTTAACCCTATTCTTTAACTAAAAAAAAATAAAAACGTTCTGTTGTTCAACAGATGCTTTCTGAAAATAAAGAATAAAAAAAAAACTGATTAATAATTTCATCTGTTCCTTCCTTCAAAATGTGATGGTTATTTAATTTTTTGCCACATTGGTTATTTATTGTACTGCTTCTGTCCTTGTCATCGCCTCTTTATTTACTCGTTTAGTGTTTTTTTTTTTTTTTTGTTTGTTTTTTGTATTTTTTTTCTATACATCCTAGTGAAAATACACCCGCGTCAATTTTGATTATTACATGAGTCTTACTCTTATCATATGTGTGTGAAGGGAAGAAAAAGTTAGGGCAGTGAGTATCAGAATAGCATGTCAGTTTTCTTTTTCCAACCTCCTTAATCTTATTCTTACTGAACCCCTTTTTATCTCAGCCACAATGACTACTGAACTGAAAGGATGATAGTCACTAGATTTTTATTTGTTTGTAATTTTAACTGAAATTCAAGATTTTTTATTTCCGATTATGATGTTGCTTGTTCGCACCCATAGTTTGATGATTTATTTTGAATTTGAACTAAGTTTAATCGGATCAAATCAAGGTGATCTGGTGGCCACTACAATTTGGATTTTTAATGTAATTGATGAACAAGACAAATTACATTTTTAGGTTACTGTACAACTTTAAATTCATTAAAATTTCAACTTCTAAAGCAAAGAATATATTTTCTTTTCTTACCCAGGAGCTAATTAGTTTTATAACCATAGACAAGTTGCTCAATGTTTTACTGAACTATTCGTACGTAAAGCCTGCAGAGTGCAGATTGTTGTTGTGTTTTCTATTGGAATGTAATAGCAGAACAAAGGTCATACATTGGCTCAACAAAAAATGTTACTTGATTACGTTGCCCTTCTACTCAACAAGTGAGTCGGGTAGAATAGGCATTAGATTAAATAGGGCAGAAGATATATTTAGTGCGTGAATGTCTACATTTACATTATTTTCCTAATCCTTTTTATCACTAAGTGAACATTGTATTCTATTCATCATGTAAATATTTGAGGGGAAATCACTCCTGCCAAAAATGTCATTTGTCAAGGGACATTAGTTATTAGTGCAGATAATTGGAATTCTGAATAAGATTGTGCATATATTTTTTTGTTTGTAAGTGGTTTAGTCCACCGGTATCTTCTTTTTGTCCCATCACCAGATAATGTGACAAAAAGATGTGTAATAATGGTTGTTGGAAGATAATGTAATCAGTTCATAGATTCTTCCTTGTTACTGGTACCATGAATCTTAATGTCTCATGTTGTGTGGAGATGAAATTGGCACTGCTAAATAAACCCCTTGTGGTAAAGATGCCATTGAAGAATCCAGTATAGCAACTCAATGATCAAAAGGATACACACACACACACACACACACATATGCCATTCTTCTCTGATCGTGTTGGCAAGGCAAGATAGATTTTGAATCTGACACATTTTTTGAAAGATCATTTCAATATTTTCATGAGCCAGACTTTAAAAACTTTGTACACGTTACTATTTTAATACAAAATACTTTTTTTTTTAATTTTCATTAGTTTTGTATTAAATAATACCTAAAACGATATCTTTGAGGAAGAATATTTGTGTTAAAACTAAGAGGTTAAGAGGTCAGGGCTAATAAAAGGTTCTGTTTTATTAGTTTGCTATGTGTAAGGGTGTATGGAACCATAGTCATAATATTCTTTCTCTTTCTTTTTCTAAAATATTCATGGATAATCTTAAAAATTCTATTACAAATTGAAGAAAATTAATTTTATTATGAGAGGAAAGAAAGTTTCGATAATTTAACATTCACAGAGCATATTGGGGGAAGGTGGGGGGGAAGCAGTTTGATGATTCTGAGTAAATGCATAACAGAACAAGAGCTGGTAAAGGAGTAAGAGGGCAATTATTGGAAATTGTGGAGAGTCATAATCACCTTTGCCCTAAAAGATCCTGGCACATAAAAGAAATTCTGTGCATATTTATGTAGCTCTGAAAAGAAGTTCACTTGGAGCAATGATTTCTGTAGTTGTTTTGATTTTATCTGTCTATATTTCTGAGATGAAGTATTATGTAAATTATTTACATTATTCTTTTCTTCTTCAGGTGGTTGGAATGTTGACATTCCAACCACCTAAAGAAGGCTGGAGCATACAGTTGTAATAAATATGGTGACAAAGATGAGGACAATAGTCTGAATAATGTAGATATTTTGATTGTGATTAAACTTTCTATCAAATTCACCCAAGCACAACAAAATTTGCTTATATTTCAGTTAATTTCTTACAGTTGAAATCCTGCATACACAACTAAATGTTCTTGAATGTTGATGGTTTCATCTTTTTATTAATCCTGATTATTTATAATCTATCACAAGCCTCTTGAAATTGATTCATGGTGAGGCAGTAGTAGGTTTGAGGAAAAATATAATGCAATTAATATCTAATTTATTGAGTTTGACCTTGCTGAGAAATCAGCTACCTGATGACTCAACAGGAAAAATAATTATTGTTTTGACTTGTATTCAAACAATCTGTCAGTCAGCCTTTGAATCTGTTTTTAGTTATAAGCAGCTCATGTACAAACCACGTGTAAAACAAAAAAATATAAAGAAATGTTTCAATGTTTCTTCATTTAAAAAGAAAAAAAAAAAAAGAGGGCATTGGAAAGTTTTGCCTATAGCTAATAATTATAAAAATGCACAGTAATTTTATCCTCTATATAATTGTAGCTGTAAAATATTGGGTCAAATGATGAAAAATATATGACTGCCTTATACAACTTTAAATGCATGAATTTTTATAAATACATTTTACTCTGTTAGATTAATTAGCATTAACTGAATGATATTATGAAAAGTTCTCAAACGGACCAAGAAGCTCTTCCAAATAAAGTTTTGATGTTTGGTCAGATTGGTTATTATTAACTGTTAATTTGGGAACTAAAATAAGATTATGGCTCTTGAATTTATGAAGAAATATAAAAATGTCTCTCACAATTTTGTCATGACATGCAAGATGATCTCAAAGCTTTTGTTTTGATTTCAATGTACTTTTTATTTATTTCTTTTAATAATTTTAAGCGGGAAACTAATTTCATTGTCAATACATTGTCTTCATATAATGAGTAACTCTTAAAGAAGTAGTTCATATTATGTCATGAATAGCAATAGTTTGTTTGGGATAGGCTTGAATATTTAGAAAATAACTGCTGTTACACAAGTCTATCAGTTATCTATAACGTATAGTTTGTAAAAAAAAAAATATATATATTAAACCTTTCCCTTTTTTCTTTCTTTTTTTTTTTTTTTTTTTTTTTGTAAAAGGTTTTACTGCTGACATCCTATGCTAACTTTCATCAAGGCCTTTCAAACTGCAAATTAAGCCAGGTATTC